GCCGCGTGGGCTGCGTTGCCGGGAGCTGGGTGTAGCCGCGTGGGCTGCGTTGTCGGGAGCCGGGAGCTGGGTGTGGCCGCGTGGGCTGCGTTGCCAGGAGCTGGGTGTGGCCGCGTGGGCTGCGTTGCTAGGAGCCGGGTACGGCCGCGTTAAAGTCGGCTATTGCGATAAAACTACTTACGTAGAGCGCGCAATTGTTGGAATAGCTTCAAAAAATTAATATATTAATCAATTTCAATTTCTCAATATACCGAGTTAGTTCAATGCTTTAATACCAAGTTGTGTAATAGCTTCAATAGCGGCGACTTGGTGGTGGCGTTGTTGTATGGGTGTGTGGGGAAAAGAGTGTGGCCTTGCCAAGCCCCCGAAATAAGTTAAACTGTGCGAGCCCGCGACAGCGGGCTCCAAGCCCCTAGTGTTCGCCACGTACCCAACAGTGTCTGACGCCATCCGCCGTCGTTCTTCCGAGCATCGTCGACCCACTGCTTCTTGTTCATGTCGACGCTGCGGTCCATCTGGTCGGCCCAGCATATCATGGGGATGCCAACGCTCGTCAGCAGAAGCGCAAACGCGAGCTTCGCCGTCTTCTCGACATCCCATATTCCGTTACTGACAAGGAAGCTGTACAGCCTCTCCTTGCGGGATCCCTCAATGTCGTGAGAGGCGATATAGTTCACAGCTTGAGCACCGTCGGCGAAGTTCGTGCCGTCAACGGTCCCTCAACTGCCCCGTCGCATATGACTGGTAGCTGTCCGATGTCAACAGCGTACATCTTGGGGTTTGTATGTCGAACTGACTGTGTTGTAGGAGTTGTGTTCGAGTGTTGTCGACATTAGCAGGGCAGGACATAGATTACTTGTAGTGTAGGTATTTGAGCAGGTGTTGATAGCGGTGACGCTGGCACAAGAACGAGCGATGAGATCCTCCCGGGGTAAGCTCATTGCATGTCGCGTTTCATGGAACGCGGCGAGTTGAGGGCCGTGTCCCAGATCTCAGCCGCTCGGGATCCCTTGGCGATAGTTGCTGAGGGCAATCAATTGGGCCAACGTGGTGATTGTGATTTTCTCTTAAATCTTTGCGGGGTTCCAGAAACGCCAAAAGACGGTTTGATGGAACGAGTTGTGGAAAGTGAGACTGTTGGAACTTGGAACTTGGGACCAGCCTATCTCTTGGCGCAGATTGACACCTGGACTGGGCTGCAGTACGGATAGGCCCACAGCTTTCCGCGATGCCGCTAAAACTTTGCAGACGTCACAGGCGCAGTAGCAATGGCGCTAGTATTCTTTCGGACTGGCGCGTTCAAGCGATACTCCACTGGCCCGGGAAGATGGAGAGAGAAAACAGCTCGACCAACGAGGCAAGGCAGGCAGTTGCATTTGTTCTGCGGCATTTGCCTTGTGCAACCTTTTCTTGCCTCGCCCTCTCTCGGCACATCCACACATCGTCGGTCACCTGGAATACGTTCAGTTTCCCTCCTTGCAACCCAATTGCCCACGATGCTGTCCCGGAACTCTGCCCGGGCAACCCAGGTTTGTTTTGTTCTGTTTGTTCTGTTTGTGCTCGTTTTTGCCTTAGTGTCCCGCCATTCCTCGCTGCCGCCCGACCGACCGCGATCTCCACCACCTGCAACATACAATTTTCTCGGATCTCTGAGCGCCCTGCTAACCAGCCTTCTCACCAGCGCTTGCTGAAGGTCGCTACCCAACAGCGCCTGAACGTCACCCGCGGCTTCGCCAGCGTGAGCGATGGCCCCTCCCAGACTGTCCAGTCCGACATCTTCAAGCCGACAAAGTATGGCGGCAAATACACCGTCACCCTCATTCCCGGAGACGGTATCGGTGCCGAGGTTGCCGAGAGCGTCAAGACGGTTTTCAAGGCCGACAATGTGCCCATCACATGGGAGCAGGTGGAGGCGTCGGGTCTTGACGATGCCACACCTGTGGCACGCAGGGAGGAGAAGTTCCAAGAGGCCGTCTCGTCGCTGAGGCGAAACAAGCTTGGCCTCAAGGGCATTCTGCACACCCCTATCGAGCGGTCCGGCCACGCAAGCTTCAACGTGGCCCTGCGCCAGGAGCTCGACATCTATGCCTCCATCTCCCTAATCAAGAACATTCCTGGCCTCAAGACGCGCCACGAGAACATCGATCTCTGCATCATCCGTGAGAACACCGAGGGCGAGTACAGCGGTCTCGAGCACCAGAGTGTGCCCGGCGTCGTTGAGTCGCTCAAGATTATCACCCGCGCCAAGTCGGAGCGCATTGCCAAGTTTGCCTTTAGCTTTGCCCTTGCCAACAACCGCAAGAAGGTTACCTGCATCCACAAGGCCAATATCATGAAGCTGGCCGACGGTCTCTTTCGCGGCACCTTCAACCGCCTGGCCAAGGACTACCCCCAGCTCGAGTGCAACGACATGATCGTCGATAACGCCTCGATGCAGTGCGTCAGCAGGCCCCAACAGTTCGACGTCATGGTCATGCCCAACCTGTACGGTGGCATCCTGTCCAACATTGCCGCCGCCCTTGTCGGCGGCCCCGGCGTCGTTCCCGGCTGTAACATGGGCCGTGATGTGGCCGTTTTCGAGCCCGGCTGCCGTCACGTCGGTCTTGACATCAAGGGCAAGGACCAGGCCAACCCTACTGCTCTCCTTCTCAGCGGCACCATGCTGCTGCGCCATCTCGGACTCGACGACCACGCCAACCGCATCTCCAACGCTGTGTACGATGTCATTGCTCAGGGGTAAGTTGGCGCTCGCATTCTTTTCTCGGCACTCCATATTCTAACCCTTTTTACAGCCAGATCCGGACGCCCGACATGGGCGGCCAGGCCACCAACCAGGAGTTCACCCGCGCCATCCTGGCCTCGATGGAGAAGTCCTTCTAAACTCACCCGCCGTGACAAATCGATTTACACGGCAAGTGTACCTATACATCCGGTTGCGCCTCGATTTTCCAGAACAACGTCATTTCCTACCCGGTATAGAATCGGCCAGCATGGATACCACAGTTGGGGGCGGTTGATGGACCAGTGCCATAGAATAGGCAAGACTGGAGTCGATGAGGACAGAGGCATGCAGCGGAATCATGTACTGTACGTAAGAGGTGGCCATAGGGCAGGCACTTACTTTTCCTTTGTGCTGCCAATGTTAATGATGTGATGTAACTTGGATAGGAAGGGATAGGAATACTTTTTACACTATCCCCTGTCCCCAAACAATTCTTGCACATTTACACATTGGACCCGTTCATCCGGTCAACAGCCTTTTTCGGACAGCCATCGACCGGCCCGAGGAAAAACGGCGGAGTTATCGGATGCAAGTGGGCCAGGAGTGAAGTGGGGCCGGCCCTTGGCTGCCAAGAGCCGGGAGGTGCCGACGACCCTGGCTCCCTGGATCGACGATACCGAATACACCACGTGGT